AAACAAAAACAGAACCACCATTGTAATTATAAATGATTATTAGGAAAAATGGATTTCACTTTTTCTAACCCTTAAATAACTAAGCGATTAAAGGTGTGCATATAAATGTAAATAATTTTACTTTTACATCTACATGTCATTATTTTCAAATGATTTCTAATTAAATATACAGAGATCTAATCTTCATAATACTTGTTTCAGAGAAATAAAACAGCGTTACTTACTTGGGCATGTCTCTGTCTTTTTCCATAATTGCTCCCAAATGACCGTCCATTGGTTTAACATCTGCATATAAAGGTAGGTAGGAAGCATGACTCATGTGACAGCTGACGATTACCATGCCCTCATCAAATGGAAACGCCAATGAGCGGCAGCCGTCAACTCAGGTCTATGGAATTCAGAGCGAACATCCCTCCTTTTGCTGCATCTTTTGTGTGTTGGAGGACTACTTATGATGTAACTTTAGGTCTGGGCAAGCCTGTGTAGGAAAACAGGTCTGACAGAACAACATTCCCACAATGGGAACCAGGCTTCATCTTTAAATCCTAATATTTTGGAGACCTTAGTCAAGAGGACATTTTGACTTTCAGTAAAGCTAGATAAAAAGACAGGGGCCCACATTGTATCTGTCAGTGAGTTGTGAGAAATTCTACCAAAGAGTGATTTTCATTCCACTTTAATTCATTTGAGAAGAGGTGGAATTATCCTGCAGTTTATTCAAAAAACATAAAGATTTCAGAAAAGACACAGACTAAATATATAAAAAATATATTTATTTTCAATCTCTTCATTAGCCTGTCAAAATATCACGGGTGAGACTAAGGGAGCATTAGATTTAATGTAATTTAATCATGGAATTTATAAACTTAAATAATAAACAGAGTAGAGTTAAATCTCTTCGGATTCATATCTTGACAAATATTGTGAGATTTGAGAAGTAAGTGAAGCGTAGTGAAACTAACTATGATTCCTATCGCAATGTAATTGTCTCACATGAGGAATTTTAAATATCTTTACATTATCATATTCAAACTTACTTCTTAAATGGTCTTTTGACACTGAGTGACCTGGTTATTTCTCCTTTTCATCAGTTATTCTGCTTTTTCCTTGGTTTTCTCTGTTCTCTGCCTTCCTCCCTGTGTCTCCTCCCCTGTGTGCTCTCTCTCTCTCCCTCCGCTCCTGAGCCCAGCCTACAACCTGCACCTGCACGTCATCAGCCACCCCGTCGGCCTGCCACACCTGCCAGTAGTCAACCTCACCCCGGTTCTCCACACCATTCTTGCCTGATCGCCGTTGCTCCATACCCGGTGCCATCTCTGCATTCAGGGCTCTCATGTTTTTTGATTTCTCTCAATTTACCTCTGCTTTGTCGCTGCTGTCCCTAACTTGGTCTCTTTGTCTGTTTCCCTCCCAGGTTCACTCACCCTTGTCCTCTGTTCAGTCAGCTGGTCTAATCCTCTGGTCCTCTCCTCCCCTCCCAGATCCCCCTTGCTTCCTCGGCCCCAGTGTTCCCCGGCTCTCTGGTCCCAGTCTCCTCTGTTTCCCCCGTGCCAGTGTTTCCCCGGCATCCACCTCTCCCTTCACTCCAGTCCCTCAAACCCTTTTCCCTCAATAAACCTCCTTCGCTCTGAGCGCTCTCACCACAACACACCACCCATAACATGGTCAAGTACTTTCCTCTTGCACACATGGAGGCAATAATAGTCAGTTGTTGCTCACTTCCATTGTTATGTTGTGGCTTTCATATTAGTGTTTTCTGCATGCACTTTTTTGAATTTGCAAAGTGTTTTTGATATGCAGTTTGTTCAACATGTCTTGACCCCCATATTTGTTCCTTCATGAAGTGTTTTTTTTTTATAACATTAACTGAAGGCCTGTGTTCTAACATCAGCTTGCTTTGACATTTATGAAAGTAAGAATTTGATGTACATGTGCCTTCTCAAATAAACAAAACATTTCTGTTGACTTATTTGTTTAGGCTGCAGGTCAATGGAAATATAAAGAAGTTGTGACTTATCAGGTTTGACAAGTCTTCTAAAGAAATGTGACGCCCTGCAACCTAATTTCAATATGGGCGTAAGGATTAAGCTGCTGCCGTATCAAATGTTCTACCTTCTTCTTTGCTTCTAGTTGCTTAATGTTCTGTAGTAACTGACTACAAAACTTTCTCCAGAAAATAACACATTCAAAATGAGTCAGATTTAAATCTTCAGCCATAGCCTATATGTACATTTCTGGTCTCCTCTGATAGATCAGAAGCTATGGAATATGAATCCATTGTAAGCAGTGGTGGAAAAAGTAGGCTACTTTTTTAAGTAAAAGTACAGTACACTAATATGTTACTGTAAAAGAAAAATTCATCCTGTAAAATACTACTCAAGTAAAAGTTAAAAAGAACCTGGTTTTAAAAGTTCTTAAGTGTCAAAATTAAAAAGTACTACACAGTATCCCCTTCAGACCGTCTGAAAGACAGAACCCCATTTGTATGAACCCTGGTGTAGAGAGCCGGAGAAGATACGACAAATTATCAGTAGCGCAGTATCCAATGCTAACATTAGATAAGAAAAACATTTTACTGCAATTGGTGCTGAGTATTCCATGAATTATGTTACCAAAAGGGAAAAATAGTGAATGTTATTTTCTACTGTGCACTCCACAGTACGTTCCATCTCACACAGGCTCCGCCCTCTACTGGACTCTATGGGTACAGTGGGTGGAGCCCGATGACTGTCTGCCCTAGCCAAAGCCAGTCCACGACACCAACCCGGTCAGCCGCAGGCTGGCCAAAGCCCCGACCACCACATCAACTTAGTGACAGAATGGAGGGCCACCCCCTGAGAAGGACCGATAGGGGCTTGGCCTGACCATTAACACCTGGACTGCCCTGACTTCTTACTGGAATGTCCCATTTACTGTATATTCTCACAAACCATCATCTTCCCTCCAGCCAAAGAAAGGATTCATGAACATGATGTTATATTCCTCCATATACAGTAGAGGGCACTGTGAGTCAATCCACATTTGAATTCCAAGTATTGGCTTGTCTTCTACTCTGTCCTTTCACAGTTGGTTGAATCTGCACTGACTAAGAAACCTGGTGGAGATCATATCATCAAGGTGTACAACCTGAAGAAAGCTCTGACTCCTCACAGCGACAGATGGTTAAAGGATAATCTAAGTTGGTTTAGACCTGGGCCCTATTTTCAGGTATTTTAATGTTGAAATGACTAGAAGGTACAGAACGTTTTAAATCAGTGCAGTAGATGGCTTCCTGGTGACTCCCTCTGTCTTTAACAGGAGAGTGAAGTAGGACAAATCTCACTCTAAAAATCTTGTGAGAGGCAAATTGTAGCAGGAAGATGCCAGTGAAACCTCAATCTGTCCACATTAGAGAGATAGTTTGAAAAACACCTTCAGTTGTTGCCCCACCTGCAAACTCTGTTGATTTTGGTTGATTGGTACACTTACACTAAAATACTAACTAAACCTTAAGGGGAAAATGTTTTATTTTTAATAAATTGTATTTAAAGTTTTACTTGCAAACATTTAAAGTTTTACTTGTTTTAATTGTAAGCTGGACGTGGAAAAGTACAAAATTGCAAAAAAACACTAGAAAGTAATTATTAAAATTTTTATTTAAAAGCACACCAATAGTGTGTTTGTTAAAAATAAAACTTAAGTTGAGTAAATATTAGTGAATTTTAACACTTGCAGGAGTCAATGAAAGGTTTAACGCTAATGATGAGTGAATTATTAAGAGTACATTTTTTTAATAAAATTGGGTGTTATTTCTTTTTAAGTGTAGAGCTTGATTTGCACTTTTCAGTGTGGTGTATGTTAAATACAGATTGATAGAGACTTTATTGTCACTGAGACAACAAAATGCAGTTTAGAGCAAACTTATATAAAATATAAGTCATAAAAGGATTGCATGAAATAATAAAATGAAGCAATTAAACATACATGAAATTGAAATAAATAAATAAACATAGAAATAGCCTTTTTCATTACAAAAAACATATTTACTTTGAATTTATTTAAGTATTTAACTTTTCAGCTTTTATTTATTTATTCTTAAGTCATTTTTGGTCCCTCATAAAAACATCATTATAAAGTGTTTTATTGAGAAAACAAGGGCACAATGCAACACCTATTATTGCAATTAAAGGTAAAATTACACAAATAGAAAGATCATAGATCATAATTTTAATTTAGTTTCTCATTTACAAATAAATATAATTTATTTGGGGTTATGGGGTTATGAACTGATATTTAGTAATGATCATTTCTCATTTAGTGGCCAATGTGTCTCCTTTCATACATTGCTTCACAGTTTCTACCCATCACAGAACAACTTCAAGAGGAGGGTTTTTTTGCATCATCCTAGGTAAATTATTTACTTTTAATTTTATGACCTTTTATGATGTTGCCTTATTTATGGAAAAATGTTATTATATCTAGTATAACAAAGATAAAATTTCAGAAAAACAACTAGCTAAATTTAAAGATTTGAGATCTAAGTTTTTTTTAACACAGTCAAACACACAGACAGCATGTAAATATTTATGATAAATACAATGACCAGCGATCCCACAGCAGAAAATATTATTACATTATAATAAATATTATACTGCGTGTGGTGTCCTGATGATACAGTACAGTATTTTATAAATAAAATGTATCAATTAATCTCTTTTGCATTTTTGTAAAAAAAATTCCCTGATTGAAGAGTTCTCTACAGGATTGAAGTAACTATTTCACTTTCTTTTCCCCATTAAAAGTACTTTGTTAGTTTGTTTGTGACATCATATGCAGAGAATGTAATTTCTCTTCACGTTGTCTGTATTATTTCTAAACTTCAGTAATTCCTCTTCACATTACAGAAACACCAACCTCTAAGAAAACTAATATTCAGAATAAAATAATTTCAGATTATAGATAAATACATTCCAAACAGAGGATATTTCAAAGTGCTAAAATGTGTTGGAGAGAGTCTGCGTTTACACCTCAGTCCCGTCATATTCTGACTCCTGCAGGGAGTTGGAGTCGGCATTGTCGACCTGAGAAGAGATTGAAGAAACAGTGCACATAAATTCCACCTCATATAGAATATTTCTGGCTTGTGACTAGTCAGAAGTGACACAGTAGCAGGATGGTGCAGTTGGACTGGATGTCGTAGCTTCCTTCATTAATTTAAGAAAAGTATTTTCAGATCTTTTCTGTAATTAGCATCTCACCTAAAACAAGCCTAAAAAGTAAGGTAAGTAGGTAAATCCTACTCATGTTGTTCTTTGCTGTGTGTTCACATTCATTATTATTTCCTAGATAAAACAGCAGTCATTCTTATTCTTATACGTGATTTTAATCTCCACAAAGTTCTCTTTAAAAAACAGGATCACAACCCAACCTTTTTCTCAAGTATAATTGAAGCTGAAAGCAACGTTGTGGGCCGAGGAACAGTGGCCAGAGGTTGGAATGCGCGCCACTAAATTATTGAACGCTTTGGACTGGTCTTGAAGGAGTTACTTACTTCCTGTGTCCACTAGCTGGTGCTTGACAACACCCGCTAATCTAAGTTGTGTACCATTAGGCTACATGAAATGTGGACCACGCTGTGAAAATGTCATATAAATCAAATGATTTTTGTCTCAGAAGGCTTACTTCCTGTTGCCAGTTCGTGGTTATATGTTATATGTTGCGTAATTATTGCCATATAGGTTTGTTCAATGTGGGCCTGTTATTAAACATGTAAAGTTTGGTACAGATCTAGGCATGTACACTTTTACACTGTTTTGTGGCAAATCATTGATATTTGACCCCACGCTACAGACACGCCATTTAAGAAAACTCACAGATAGCACAACTTCTCATCGTCAGTGCCTTTAAATTTTCAATGGGATAAATTCTCTAGGAGGAGTTTGTTAAAGTACGTATATACAAATAGCCAAAAATTACCTAAAAATTTCATACATTTCAGTGAAATTTTGCCCGAAGTCTGCTCTTTAGGGGGCGCTAGCAAACAATTTTGCCTCGCCCAAAAACTTTTTAAGCTGCCAAAAATGCGATTTATTTACAGAAGAGAAGATAGAAAGAAAATAATTTCTTTAGTTTGAATAGAGTCCTCGTACATTTCGCGCTCCAGCCCTAATAATGTGCAAAGAAAGCAGGAGCACATTAGCAGCTTAGGCTTTTTTCCATAGCTGACATTTCACGAAACTCAGTAGTATGGTTGGTAATCACAAGTATGACTATCCTGTTTATCCTTTTTGTTTTTGAAAAGTTGTTTTTATATTAGAGTCTGACGGCCGAAGTGATCGTTGTTTTGGACTGCAATTGCAAGATTACTACTGATAACGTTGCACTATGCTGCGGTTGTAAGGCCTAATAATAATTATCAATAGTTCTAGTATCATTGCAAGTTGTTACAATAGTATTTGTAGACCAGCAACAGCAGAATCAGTAACTGTAAAAGTAACAAAAGTAATAGATGTAAATACCTTTTCGCCGGCCAGGTCTGATTCTTCTGTTCCATTTTTTTGTTTTATTGGCTCTGTGTCCAATATGGCCACATAATGGATCAGAGTGTAGATTCTAGATGAACATAAAACAAGAATTATATTTTATACAAATGTTAACTGATGTATGAACTGCACATCCTTAAAATGTCAAACCCTGTTAAGGAAAGAAATTTGATGTAAGTGGTCACCTGTGGTAAAACATAGTCAAGAACTGGATCACAACCGATGTGGCAAATCCCAAAATGAACATGAAGGAAATGGGATCTATTTGTATATGTCCGGTGACTTCGAGGTTGAAGTTGAGCTTGGGGATGTTGATGGGTATATTCAGGAGCTGGAGGGTAAATGTTGCTACCAGCCACAGAGCATTCATGATGAAGAAGGCAAAGTTTATCTGTGTAATGAGAAAGAAAGCATTCATTTAAGACTAACTGAACAGTGATTTCTTGTTGGACATATACCGTAATTAATTTCTGCACACATACCTTATTTCTCAGCTCTCGCAGGTCATTGATTATCATTTCCTGTTTCTCTTTGTCTTCAACATGAGGTTGCAGGTACCTACCCTGAAGCTCTTTCCAGAAGTTCTCCTCTTCCTACAGAGGAACACAGAAATGCTTTCAATTAATTAATTTCACATAGATAGGGCAGGAAACAAGCTTTATGTACACATTTAATGCTTTATCCCACAATTTATCATCAGTCTTAGTGTTTGAGTTTAGCAACAATATAGCATGACTTAGATAATGATATGTTTGTGTGTTGTGTGTCAAATGTCCTATTTATAATTATTCTTTTACATTTGTGCATGGTAAGACATAGCAAATAACAAAAAACTGCTTTGGGAAACTGAATATGGTGAGCATAATTCTGATGAATTGAAGCAGGAGTAAACTCTAAACTCTCTGTAGAGGCAGCCAACATGCAAACCCGATAAAGTGAGACACAAACCTGGTCGAGTGACTCCTCCTGCAGCTGCATGTCACTGGAAATATTCTGTAGTTGTGTGACCCAACCTAGAGAAAAGAGCAATGCGGCAGGATATTAGAAAACATCACATTTACAAGTGTGCTGGATTTCTTTATAAAAAAAATCATGCTGATTTTTGTGTTTGGACATACATTGGGCAGCACAGTCGAAAACAGGCTCCAATTGCCTGAAACAAAATCAAAAATTGTTAGTATGATCTCATACTTTGTTGTAGTGACACATTACATTTGTATCTATGTTCTACCCATAGACTGTATATAAGAGGTGGACGTATTGAAGGCTCGAGTTTGGCCGACAGGGCGCTGCCATGTTGAGTTTTTGTAACCAGCGGCATCGGACGTGACCATATTTGGACGAGATGGTGGAGCTAACGGCCGTGTGCGGAGCAAACTGGCTTGCTTAACTAGCTTCATTTCTAATTCACATGATTGTAACAGGGCTGATCATTTCGTGAACAACAGGCTTAAAACAAAATGTACTCACCAGAGAAAGTGAACAGCCAACTCCTAATGAGCTTTTTCAACAGCGATGGTTAAATTTACACAATGCTGTGGGTACGAGTCACTGTAGCCTGATTGACAGGTCGCCATGGTAATGAATTATCAATAACAGATAATCCCGCCCTGAAGCATACTCTGTTCTATGGTCTAATTTCCTCTAATTTACCAAGTGAACATAATGTTGTATTGAAGAAGACTTGAAACTAGCGACCGAGACCGTAAACTCATTAGGAAAGTGTTTACTGAGGTAATAAATCAGCGGAGAAGTAGGGCCATTTTGCCATTATTTCTAATGGAGCCGGACTTCTTTTTGCAACCGGAATAGTCGTCTGCTGCAGGTTTAAGGGACTTTCATGTTCGACAGTTCTCTGAAGCTTCCCGCTTGGTTCTAACCTCAGAACGTACCTCTGTTCCTCTGAGATCCTCATGTCTTCCACAATAGTGTTTTGGGGCTGGGGTTCAGGTTGTGCGGATTCTGGGATCAGGTTCTCCTGGTTGGCATTGAGCTGCTCACCTCCAGATCTGCTGGTGGACTTTTTACAACATTTGGCCCATGAGAAGAGTCGTTGGAAGATGCTTTTGGCTGCAAGTGTGATGATCAGCTTCAGTTCAGTCAGCACAAACAATAATACTCGTCGAGTGTTGCACTTTGAGTGGTCTGAAAATACACTCTTTAGTTTCAATCTGGTATCTACCTTTCTGAGCTGTTGTTTGTGGGGTGGTGTCTGCAGGCAATCCAGCGGCAGGTTTTGCCTCCCGGGTGCCCCAGGACACATTGTTCATGTTGACCATGGAATAGATGGTGAGCAGGAGGTAGGCGCTGGGGATGCAGAGAATGTAGAGCAAGCCATGGAACACCAGCTGGATTTCCTGAGGATGCATTATCGCAGTGATGATGTAAATGAAAGCCATGGCGATGACGAAAATGCTGCTGGGTGTCAGGATGGTTTGTTCCCTCACCATTGCACCTGAAGAACGGAATGGAGAGTTTCAGAAATTAAACCACTGTTAAACAGCACATCTAAAAATATTTTAGTAAGTCTAAATAAAGTAGCTACACATGACTCTGTATAAAGTTATACGTGTTGGAATAGAACTTACCGATGATGGACATTGTCACCACCAACATGATGAATGCATATATGATACTCAAGACTGCTGCAATAGTGATCTGAGTGTCTGATTTCAGTTTGAAGCAGAGAATCAGGTAAATGAGAGGAGGTAACACAGCCAGGACCAGGGCAGCGTTGGCTTCAATTTTAAAGATGAAAGTCAAACTGCCTGGAGACCACAAAAGAGGAGGCACATTAGTTTTACATGGTAACCTTGCCTTTAATTTTTGCATTTATTCAAACACAATTAAAACATCTGTAAAATAGTCATATTTCTGGTTAAATCCAGTTGATCTCAAAAGTAAAAAAAAAAACTCTGACCTGCAATCATCAGGCAGATGGTGGCAGGGGCCAGGATTGATGAGGTGATGGCAAAGAGCTGGTAGAACATGAAGGGTTTGGACATGGATGAGTTCCTCTTGGAAATTGTGTTGGTTGAGCCCAGCAGATCCACCACATTAGCCATCGTGGACGGTCCCCATCGCCGACGCTGAAGATAATAAAAAATCATTAGCGTGACTGATATGATTTTTGGACAGCTTCTAAGCATTGAGATCCACAGTCATAGATGTCTCTGATATCCAGATTCTGAATATCAGAAGCAAATGTATCAGTTTGTCAAATCTACTTTATGGCCATCATGTTAGTTGAAATGTTCTGATTAGCTGCAGGACTCGCCTGGTTGTAGAGTTCTTTGAAGTCCTCAGGTGCATTGGTGTAAGCATCAGATGCTGCATTGTACTCAATTCTCCATCCCTGCTTTAGTAGCAAAGTACACAGCCAGCGGTCCTCACCTTCAGGGAACAGAAAATAAAGAGGCAGAGTGTGAAAGCTATCCCCAAGACTGAGTGAGAGACAGGAAGTCCTGTGAACAATATCTGTTACCTTGGTCGAACTGGATGTAGTGTCTCGCCTCTGTGGACTTGGTGGAGTATCTCTTCATCACGTTGTCATCCATCAGCGCCTCTGCTCTGAACAGACTGAAGCAGCCAGGGCTGCACAACACGCAGCCAATCACATGCTCCGCTGTCTTCTGCAGCCAGTGACTGACGGCGTACTCAAACTTCTGGAACCACACTGCAGGACCTGTAGAGAAAAAACAGAGGTAATGTAAACATCGACACAAATGTCGGTCCAGTGCTAGTCACTGTTGGCTTCACAGTTGCAATGGTTGATCTATGGCAGAGGTATTTGTTCAAATGATTGGACAGTCGTTTTATGTTGTATTTGGTTGTTTTTTTCTCTGTCTTGTCTTATTAAAAATGTACAATGGGCCAACCTGATCCAGTGGGGTGAATCCTGCCACATACTGCCCCAACACGTGGGTACATTTTCAAACGATCGATGAGCAACATCACAGCAGTTGGCTGGAAGTCTGTGTCCCCATCTAAAGCCAGGAGGTAGGTGTTGTGCTTCTCTTTCTGGAGAAACAGGCACATTTTTGATCTGATTTGCATTTAGGTTTTATTTAGAAGTACTACGGATGTGTGTTTAACCTCATCAAAGAAATCTAAAGAGTGATATATTTCTCTTATCTCACCTGGACCTCTGCTATCAATGTATCTTTGTGCTCTCTCTCCAAGCGTGCATAATATTTTGTCATGAGTTTCCAGCCCAGAAGATAGTAAAGGTACATGATCTGGAAATAAAGGAGGAACAATTAACAAACTTTCTCACAATCTGAGAGTTTAATCATTGTTTTGCTTGAAATATAAAAATTATATAAAAACATTTTTGAAAACCACAGTTCTAAAAATAAAGCGACCTGTAAATGGTCGTTATTTTCCTACCTGAGACCATCTCTTTTTATGACGGATGAGTTCTTTGTCCTTGAAGTGAACCACAATATTGTTCCCATGAGGCATGGTGACCACAAGACGACCTCCATATGGTGTCCTGATGATCTTCTGATCAGGGATCTGCTGCTGCTTTTTGAAGATGCTTTTACCAAGGTTTGTGAAGATACTGTTGAAAGAGAGTGACAGAATACTTTGATAGTAATTTCTACTCCCTAAAAAATGTATTTCTTTGGTGTACTGCCAAATGACACTGACGCTTTTTGTTCTTTTTAGAAACGTTTAAATGCACCAGAACAGTAAAATTATCTGTGAACATGTATCTTACCTATAAACGTCTGAGAGGACTTGCACAAGGTCCTTTCCAAAGTCGTTGATGTGACGCCCCCGACTCCCCTTGACATGTTTGAATGCATCATCAAAGAATATATGGGCTTCAAAGGTGAAATCTTTGGTCTTTCTCTTTGGTCTGTACTTATCCAGTCTGCAGTGTTCATAGAGACACAAAGAGGAACTCCACTGTGATAAAGTACATTTTGTAGTTCTTAATACTACACTACTAAAACCTGTCTAGACCAAGGAAAGTCTTTTCCACTACAAATTTTATTTCGTTTCGTAATCGAAATTGCAAGGCTAAAATTCTCTTGAAATTATGTGAAGTAAGAAACTGAATTAATGCATTAGCAGATCCTATTTTCAGAACTCCCTGTGATCCCAAAAAATCAACAGAAATAGCTGGAGGAATGAAAAGATGATATATCATAGACTTTTCCTACAAAAAAGAAGTGACTATAACTCACCTGAATATTGAGATAATGATGTTCATCATTTCATCGTGGGTCTCGTGCCACATGGTTGCACACAGATAAACCATTGTTTTTTCAGGTTCCCTAAAATTTGTCAAGACAAGATTTGCATATTTGAAAAAAAAAACTTTAGAGAGTTGAGTAAATGTAACCCTAATAAATAGCCTAAACTAACCTGCTGAAAATGCTTATATATAATTACTGAGGTGACCAAAATGGAGAACTACTACTACACAAACAACAAACACTTACTTCTTCATTTTTTGTTTGGTCTGATTGTTGAATCGGGTGTTGAGGAGCAGGGATTGCTCGATAAAGGCTCCTTCATACAGCCTCCTGATGAACAGGTCTTGGGTCCTCTGGATACGATAAATGTTGAGGTGCCACAGATGGAGAGTGGCCAACACCAGACTGAGCCACCACGACACTGCTGAACCTGAAGAAAGAGTAACAAATGCTCTTTTAGTGTATCCAGAAAAATGCAGGACTAAATAACAAAGTAGCCATGCAAGGTTAACTGCTTATACTGTGGATTGTGGAGATTGATTAAAGTTTTTGGTCCTTTGCAATCATGTTTAAAATCAAAAATACAGAGCGATCCAAAGTTTAAAGCAATGGCCCCTGCACACACCTGATCACTGAGGCATATAGAGCAGGGTGACTTGCTTAAACTTGCATTTAACCAGGCTCTACTTTCTTACCTGTCAGCAGGCCAATGTCAGTTATATTTGACATGTCCAGGAAGCACAGAGTGTGTGTAACATCCAAAACCAGATCTGAGAACACACTGCCATTAAGGCTGTTGTTTCTTCCATCTAAAGTTACATTGCAGTAGCCTGTGAAGTTGATGCTTGTCCCGTTCAGACTTATTCTGTATTCCTGATAGTAAACGATAACAGGGATGATGAGCAGAGCCATGACGGCCAAAGAGGCCAGATACAAAGGCAGAATGAAGCATCGTCGCAGGGCGTGCATCTTGCAGGCCACTACAGCAAACCAGTGGCAGAGGGCAGAGGAGATGAGCTGGATCCCAACGGTGATGACTATAATTTTTGTCTCACGACTCGGGATAGACTTCACTATGTCCCAGTCCATTTTGGCAAGTGGGACATAGGCTCCAAGCACACAGGCAGTCACTGTGATCCTGAGCAGGGTGGAGATGATGTGCAGCACATTCTGGCACTTTGTCATATCTGTGCACAGGTCCTTGAGGAAGACAGATCTGCGGTTCTCGCCGATCAGTCTGAAGTAGGTCTCCCACCAATTGAAAGACACCAAGAAGGATCCACCAACAGCCAGACCCACCCAAATGGCCATCTTAATATCAGTAGGATCTTTCATAATGTATAGGACGAGGAACAGGACATATCCGAGCAAAATCAGCATGAAGGCAGCAATGGACGGCACCAGGAAACAATTCCTTTCCTTGGCAGTGCACTGAGTGACCACCTGTAGGAGCGCCGAGAGGACAGCAACACCGTTCAGTATTGTCACGTTGGTCACGATGTCCAAGTTTGGCATTGCCACAATGGTGAGAATAGCTGCACCCACAGCTACCATGAACTCAAAGAAAAGAACCTGAAAAAGAAGGAGAAGGATATTTAACAACATGGTAAAGAAAATGTTCGAGATACCTGCTAGGCTGCATTTTCAGCAGCAGCAAAAGATGATGCAGTGATCACAGGAACAGCAGAGTGAACAGGCTGTGGCTGGGTGGGTACTGTCCTTTAGTATCCTTTGGGATCTGCGTAGGCACCTCACCTCACCGATATCACTGATGCTCAGTAGATGGGTACCAATGATCTTCTGAGCAGTTTCAATCACCCGGTGCAGAGCCCTCCAGTCCTGGGCCGTGCACATCCCATGCCAGTTTGTGATGTTACCAGTCAGGATGCTTTCTATTGCTCCTGTAAATGCTGATAAGAACTTGGCACTTAAACTTCCTCAAGAAATAGCTTTCTTCACCAGCGTGGAGATGCGAGATGACCATGTCAGGTCCCCTGTGATGCTGATTCCCAGGAACTATTCACCTACTCCAGGTCAGCACCACTGATGTAGACAGGAGTGTGTGTCTTTATGTCCTTCTTCCTAAAATCAACGATCAGCTCCTTAGTTTTGCTGATGTTGAGCAGTAGGTTGTTCTCTGAGCACCACTCTACAAGATTATGAATTTCCTCCCGATATGAAGGGATGTAACACTGATGTTGTCGGGAAAATAACTAAGCTTGTCAATTAGACGCAAGAGGCGTTTTATTTTAATTGGTAAGCTTTTGTTTTGAAACTGAGTATTTTTCGTTTGCTTGCTGGGATCCAGAAGAGGCTTTTGTTGAGACATGTACTGTGTTTCAATTTGTGCACTTCCATACTTACACTTACTATTTTGAGGGCATAAATATGTTCACACTGGGAAGTATGGAAAAATGCAGTGCACTGTAGATACCCAGATGGTGCACTCATACCAAAAAGCTGAGTGTGGAACGCTGGACACTTCTCAACGACCGCCATTTTACCTTTCACCATTTACTTTTACACATTTACAAGTTTTGTACACAATTTCATCACTGAATCCATTTCTGAGAAGTTTTGAGGCGAGAAGTCAACTGTGTAGATGTCGATTTTACGAAAATTGATGGCGAATCGAAAATGTGCTCAAACATTTTCAGAGTTGAGAAGCTCTACAAGTGACGGTGGTGTCAAGAGACATCAGGCTGGTGATGTTCAGAATATTCTTGGCTTGTAAAAGTTGAAAAAAATTTTTTAACAACATAAATAGTATGAAAAGGGGACTGTTGTTACTTTGTTATTATTATTATTATTATTATTATTATTATTATTATTATTATTATTATTATTATTATTATTAAATTAGATATTACATTGTTGTGGTTACAGTACTTGCTTTCCATTGATTTAATTTTATATAATTCTTATTTATGCACCAATATACCAAAGCAAATTGTTTGTAAATTAAAACTTGGCAATAAATCCGATTCTGAGCATTTTATTCTGGTGATAAAGCCTGGCTGTTACTTTGAAGCTCTGCAGGTGGTCTCTGTGCTGTTTGTTTGAACACTACCCTGTCAAAATGAATGCACTAAGCAAGTAAGGACAAAGTCTACGCAGTGTCCTGCATGTTAGTGTACTAAAGGAAGTACCCAAATTGAGACACAGCTATGTTCATGTACTCACTTACTCTATGTACTCATTCACTGGTGGTTGAGCTGTGGGCTTTGCATTGAGCACGGACCATAGCGCACACGGTGGTCAGTGGTCAAATTAGAATAACTTTCTAAGGAGCGTCAATGGAGAGCTCAGGAAAGAAAGCTTCGACCTCTTCAGGAGAGCAAAATAGTTTCACCTTACCATCGTTGATCACTTTAAGCATGTAGGGGAATATCATAGTATTTAAAAGTATTTAAGTTCCAGCAGCTTTTTCTAACTGTCTGCATTTCTGGGTAAGAGTAGCGCTGAAGTCCAGAAAGACATGAACTCATGTTCCAGTATACAAAAGCTCATTCTTTTCCCTGAAGAGCTTCAAGATCTTTAGCTTGTCCTGGAAAGGTAGCAGGATCAACCTTGGTATGGAGTTTTGCTTGGTGAAAGAAGTAGAACGAGGACAGTGCTCAGTGATAGGAGGAGTAGGGAAATTCTCCTCACCAAGGAGCTGTGGTGTCAGGCGATTCATGAAGCTGAGGATATCCCTGCCCTCCAACTTCTTCAGGAAACGAAATAGAGCAAAGGCTAGAAGCTCAGCTTCGGTTCTCGGCAGCTTCAGCATGTTTTTGAAGGGAGGCATTGTATTTTTCAAGTGTTTTGACACAGTGGATCAGGTCCTGCAGATCATCCTCATTAGAGTTCACTCTCAGCCAGAGCTCTGAAACATGTTCTCCTGGTCTAGCAACTGAAACTTCAATTTTGTTTAGGCTGACATTAATAGTTTCAAGATTTAAGCCCAGATGTGAAATCATCTCAAGCCATTAGCTGCATCCCTTCCCAGATTGTTTGGAGGGAATTCAGTTCTTGAGCCATTGAGAGACCTATCCTCTATCCCAACGGAGAAGTAGTTCAGTCCAGTAACGGTGAATTTGGTGCATACAATTGATGCAACTTGTATTTTCAGACACCACAAGTAGCTTTGATTGTCCCCAATAAATTTAAAGCGGCAAATTTATCTCTCCAGGACCGTGGTAAACAAATGTTTGATCCAGCAGACTTAGGCTTCTTTCGCACCCTCACACCACAGCAACCATCTTGTGTAAAACACAGACCTGAGACTCTATCCTCCAGGACCCCAAACTCTGCGTGAATTTTAGTTTAAGTTAAGTTTAATCTGTTTTTATATGGACCTGCTTAATTGTATTCTTATCTTTTTGATCATTTGTAATTATCATACTTATATGTAGAATTGTTATAGTCCCAATATCAATTTCAACATAATATTTGAATTAGTGAATTTACATTTTTCTTAATATTTCAAAATCATCTGAATGTATCATTGCCATGTTATTATTAGTGTGTTTGACTATTGTGAAAGGAGACATGGTCACATGCGCGTAAAGTAGGAATTTAAAACCAAATGTAATATCTGCACCCTGCGACGGACTGGCGACCTGTCCAGGGTGTACCCCGCCTTTCGCCCGGTGTCAGCTGGGATTGGCTCCAGCCCCCCCGCGACTGTGTACGCAGGGTAAGCGGTTGAGGATGGATGGATGAAATATCTGCAAATAAATTTCTTAACCAGTGGGCAGAATTCGACCCAAAAATTTATAATTAATAAATGTGGTAAGTTCTCTACAATGAGATAAAGTTAGGTTGTTTCACCATGGCTATAGTTGATTTTTTTGGCAGCTTTGATGTTTTATAGCATGCCTTCCAAATGCTTTTGAGAAACAGCAGGACACTGGAGGCGACGAGAGAGCAGCCGACACATAGCAGAGCAACAGGTTTCTGGTCATCTGGGAGGGTCTTTGTGTCTTTGTTGGACAAAGTGATGAGGAGGAGGAAAGAAGTCTGCAACAGAGAAAAAACATGATGATCATTTAATCATTTAGTTAGTACTGTGATATGAGGACAATGTAGAATCAGCAGCTGTTCCACAGACAATGACTGAGTGTCTTTCTGTGTTGAGTTACTAGCATCAGGTCACTCACATGTTTCATGCTCGGGACCTAAATAACAAACCTTGCTGCATAGCGCCAATCCAAATACACACACAGCGACGACAGAAAGGAATATGATCTTTAGAAGTTTTATCATTTTCCATGGTGTCTGTTCATCTTCAATAACCGGGACCTCTCTACAGGTATCCCACGGCCTCCTAAATAAAAACACAAAAAACACAAAGTAATGAGGATTATCAAAAAGCAAACGAGGTAGGAAGTAGTGTTGCAGTACTCAAGACCGGTCATGGTCATGGACATGGTCATGGACTCATCTTGGACTCGACCACAGTTGTACTCGGTCTTGTCTCGGTCTCTGACATTGAGGACATAATTTTGGGAATATCAATATATTGTTTATTAACATCCTAACTTTGATTGTATGTATAACGTATTTCTTCAAATTCAAAAGCGTTGAATAAAGATACTTACGTTGACGTTTAGCTCTTAGTGTTTGTATGTGGGTGTTTTTATGGGAATGTGGATCAGTTTGAGAAGAACAATTACAGATAAAGAATGAAATTGTACATTGGGTGTATTGCCTGCTTGAGATGAGCCATATCTCTAATTATAACCCATCTAAATTTGACCAGTAATAATTTTCTAAACATAAAATTCCTATTTTTTTATGCTTAATAATGTAGTGGTAATCATGGCTATGAGGTCACCGAGATCCAGACCTCATATCCCATTGCCCATATGTATAGCGTATCAAAAAAAAAAAAAAACTTCTAATAAAAAGTTTTCTAACACAATCAACTGTCTGGAAAACGTTATGCATGCAATAACTGAACGCACAGTTCTCCCTTGTTTGGAGAGTTGGTTCACCTGCTTTCCAGTTAAGAGAAAACGACGTTGAGATAAGGTATTAGTCTAATTTCCTTTTTACAAAAACAGGACATTAGGTTGCTGGCCATTTCAGTGACAAACCAGCTAGCTGTCAGTGCTACCAGTCCTCTTAGATAATTAAAGAACAATATCGAGTAGCAATAATAAGGAGGGGTGTTCTGCTTATATAGCCTATGCATCTTTAAGCAAGATCTCAGCTCACAAACTTTTAACACTTATTATCTTTCAAAACGTGACATGTCCAAACTTTTGTGTACAGAATCAATTAGGAGTTTCTGCTCTGACATTTTCAGTTGCAAAAGTATTAAGGCCAATACATATAATAAAGTAATAAACAATTAGTTCAGTGATACCTCATTCATCACTATAATTCATTGATCAATAAAGAGAAATACCTCTTCTTTTATTTTATTTCATTCCAACTTACAGTGTTATATTTCTTATTTTAAAAGGGCATTTTATGTATTGAAATATATTTAAGTTAAAGACATACTAGGTCTAAATGTTTTTTCAATAACTTTGATCCAACTTCAAATTGTACTTTTCCAAGTCGGAACTTTTCCAGCATCTCTTTCTTCCCTTGTATTGAACATACCATTTTTAAAATTAATCATTTCCATCCCTGTCTGGCCACACTACACCCAAGAGTAAGCAGTGTTCCTGGCTCAAAAGCTTAGCTACCTTAAATAAATAAATTGATTTATCTTGCTTTTTTAGGTTGTAATTTGGTAAGGTACAGGGCTTTTGGCTGAATATAGCTTTATGTATATGTTTATTAAGCAAATGATTCTCCCTTTGTTCTACTATATTTACACACTGTCATGGTGTGTGACTTTTGGATTATGGCTTATTAAGAGTTGGCTAAACTTGAAAGATACTGCAGCTGTGCTCCTTTGCTCTAGTTTTTTTGACAGTGAAAGTCATTTCAAGGCAATAAGAAAATGAATAATTTCAATATTGGACATATTTTTGACTTATCTTGTGTTAGATTCTAGACCACTTTTCATCTATGTGTTGGCACTGACATTATTTCAAATGGACTGCAGAATTTAGTTTAGGAACTCACTATTTTTCAAAACGTAAATACAAAACGTAAATTCAACTGTACGCAGAGAGAGAGAGAGGTAGAGAGAGAGAGAGGTAGAGAGAGAGAGAGAGAGAGAGAGACAGACATATATTGTCATCAAGGCGACATCCCTGGACATCCATGCTTATTTCAGCAGGAATATGCCAGGCTTCATTCTTTACCAGCTACAACAGCATGGCTTTGTAGACACAGATTGCAGGTGCTTGACTGGGATGCTGACAGTCCAGATATGTCTCCTTTTAAAAATGTATGGCACATCATGAAGAGGAGAATCAACAACGACCACAGACTATTTAGCAGCTGCAGTTTTTTTATCTAATAAGAATGGACAACAATTCCAACTGCAAAACTGGCACAATTAGTATCTTCACTACCCAAAAGATTAGAAAGTGTTATTAAAAGGAAAGATG